TCAGTTTATGATGATAAACTAACAAGAAAATACATTCAATATTTAGAACTTATTGTTATACACTTTGCTCAACATAATACAAAGTGTTATGAAAGTTATAAGCTGTTAACTAGTTTTTAACCTTTCTGCACTGTTTTAGAAAAATCATACGAAGTCGAAAACTGAATCCGTAAATTCTGAGAGTTCATAAAATGTGTCTAGTTTATTCATAATTTTTATTATGATTTTTAGAAGACTTTAACTTGTGTTAAAATGTTCATATTCACAGACTGGTCCGAATTCGTTTCTGAAATGGTAGGCAGTTTTGTAAAAATCACCATAAATCGTAGAAAACTCTTATGGAGATGTGCAAGTAGTCATTTTAAAGGTATGAACCTGAACTATTTGCACATTACACAGTTTTGAAAGATATTAAGTTTAAGATAGTCAAAACAGTCCGTGAATAAGACTCAACTTTTCTGATGAAAGCTGTTGTTTGAGTTTAGTTAAGTTTTTGGTGTTTTAACTTGTATTCCCCCCCTAAAACTTGAAGAAAACATGAAAATGTATGGGGTATGAACTCACCTTGAGTGATTTCAGTAGATGGATGATGAAGAAAAGAAGTGTTCAACTCAAGAACACTTAGAAGATTGCTTGAAGATTCGAAAAACTAACACAAATATGATGAAGTTTGTGTAAGCAACCTATGATTTGAATAGAAAGAGGTGGAATAATCATATGAAGGATGATAATACTTACCAAAAGTAGAAGAAAAGTCTAGAGAATAACCTTGAATCTCGAAATTTAGAGAGAGAAAGTGAGAGAGAATGAAGTTTGTTCTTTGGTGGAAAATGAGGGGAATGAGGGAAATATGAGGAGAGGGGAGGGCTTTCCAGCTCTTGACCAGGTGTGTGGCTGAAAAATGGTGGGAAAAGTACTATGGAATGACTAGGTATGGTGGAAGGACAAGGGTGGTTCATGGAGTGGGCATGGGGTGGTTGCTTGTGTCATACACTAAAGCAAGGTCAACACTCCACCTCTAAGTCATACCCATTAGATTTTTATTCCTAAGTAAGGATTTTCTTAAAAATATAATTAAATATGAATATTTAGGGTTTATTATGTTAAAATACGAGTTTGGGTGAAAATCCCGTGTTAAAATCTCGAAAAACAGGCTCACAACGCTAAAAATATTGGAAACCGGGCAAAAATTGCCAATTTCCGAAGTTCATGGCCGGAGGTTCGGTCCTAGCCCTTAGAACCGAAAGTAGAAGAGGAACCGAGAGTAGGGTTCGGCTGCGCAGGGTCGCCTCTCGGACTGAAGGTGCAGTCCTCTTGGACCGAAGGTGGGAAGGGGAGAGCCGAAGGTCAGGTCTCAGTTCGGAATGGTCAGGGGACCGAAATAGACCGAACCCTCGGTCCATTTCGGCTGAGAGGGTTTCGGTTCTGATGCAAGGTTTCGGCTCCTAAGAAGGTTCGGTTCCTAAGAAGGTTCGGTTCCTAAGAAGGTTCGGCTCCTTAAGAGGGTTCGGCTCCTTAAGGCTGTTTTTCGCGTAGACTTCCGTTTTCGAGCGGTTTTCGTCTAATTCGAGGGTCGGGATGCCCCGAGTGATTATAAGAAGTTGAGAGAGATTTCGAGAGAGATTTGAGAGAGAGTTCACATTCTTGGAGAGATTTCTCATACAGAGAGAGATTTGGGAGAGGTTTCACATTCTTGGAGAGATTTCTCATACAGAGAGAGATTTGGGAGAGATTTCACACACTTGGAGAGATTTCTCATTCAGAGAGTGATTTGGGAGAGATTTCTCATACAGAGAGAGATTTGGGAGAGATTTCATATTCTTGGAGAGATTTCTCATACAGAGAGAGATTTGGGAGAGATTTCACACACTTGGAGAGATTTGGGAGAGATTTCACACACTTGGAGAGATTTCTCATTCAGAGAGAGATTTGGGAGAGATTTCATGTAACATCCGGATTCCCAGGTATCTTATTTTTTGTATTTTTATTGAATATTAGAGAGGGACTCGGCGAGTAGACGCTTAAACTCGCCGAGTAGGAACGACGTTTGCTGACTGTATTAAATGAATGGACTTGGCGAGTCCATGCGTGGACTCGGCGAGTCCGCGCTGTTAAGTGAAACCCTAATCCTCGGGGCCTGAGCCCTATTTAAAGGCCTTTATGGCCTCCATTTGCGGCCAATGCACCCCAGAGGAACCCTAGAGAGAGCAGTAAGAGAGTTGAAAGCAAAAGGAGGCTATTTCTTCATCTTTTTGTGTGGTTTGGCTTGAAGGAAGATAGAAGCACACATCTAGAACGTGAAGGGGACTGGATCTGAGCTAATCATCTTGTGGTATCATCTTTGGAGGTATAAACCTTTCCCATTTCGTGTTATATTGATGGATTTCTTGCTTTTAGGGTTTTTACCCTCATTTTATGGAAGATCTAGAGAGTATGAGGTCCACTTTGGGATTATGACATCAGATCTGGACCCATAGAGGTCCAGAGGACCTTTCCCACTCCGCTTTATGCTGATTCATGGAGGATTGGAGACTAGGTTGCCATTTCTAGTGTTATTTCTCCATTTGAGGCTTGATATGGGATGCATGCACGTAAAGGTTGCACCTTTACGTGACTTTTGAGTGTTAAAAGGATGGATCTACTGTTTGGTGAAGCAGATCTGACCTCAAGAGATCTTTTGAGGGTTTTCATGGGAGGAACTCGCCGAGTCACTCTACTGCACTCGGCGAGTCCGGTCAATGTTGGCCGTTGACTTTTGTTGACTTTTAGGGTTTAGTCAGTGGTTGGTCTTATGAGCCATTAGAGGGGCAGATTGGTCTTTTTCCCTTCTTAGAGAACTTATAGAGAGGGGTTGACCTAGCCTTTAGAAGTTGTATTAATTAGAGTAATTATTTATGTGATTAGGCGAAGGCTAGCGCAGTAATTCAGAGTTCGAGATTTACCGAGTCACCCGAGGTGAGTCTTCTCACTATACTTTACCTTTAGTGGTAATAAAGCTATGTGATAGCGTATCTTGTATGTTATGTATGTGAGATGTTGCACTGTATTATTTCTATGTGATATATGATGTGTGTATTCCAGAGTTACAGAGTTAGAACCGGAAGGTTCACAGAGTTAGGACCAGAGGGTCCACAGAGTTAGGACCGGAGGGTCCACAGAGTTATAGTCTCGAGTGGCTAATATGTGTTACATGTGGTATTTTGGGGAACTCACTAAGCATTTATGCTTACATTGTTGTGTTATGTGTTTCAGGTACCAGTGAGGATCGCGGGAAGGCACCGGTATGATCAGTACACACATGGGGAGCTTTTTATACTTGTGATCTTGGGATATGTTTTCTGGAGTGTTATGTCATACAATGAGATTTTTATAATATTGTGAATGAAATTATGTTTTTAAAATGTGAAAAAATTGTTTGAAAAATTTGGGCGTTACAAGTTGGTATCAGAGCCTTGGTTTGAGGGATTCGGATGCACCGTCGAGCGCATTTGAACTCAAACTGAGGATTTGAGGAAAATTTTTCAAAATAGAACAAATTTTTCTAAAAATAGTAAAAAGATTTGAAACAAGCAGAGCAGAGCAGTATGTACGATCAGCTAGCGCCCGAACGGTGATTTCCCAAAATACCCTTACATTATGCGTTATGAGATATTATGTGATATGCTATGCATGCTAGAGTAGGCTAGGTATTACTATTAGGACTAGAGTGCCCTGATCTGTGATGCCTTAGCCTAGGAGTTACTGCTACTATGAGATGCTTCGAGAGTAAGTAGGTAGCAGCGAGAAACTTATGAGTGGTTTACTAGAGAGTAGCCTGAGTTTAGTGAGATATGGAGTACTGGTGACCTGGGATCCAAGGAGGAGGACTTAGGGTGAATACTGATGCGGTGTGGACGGTAGTATAGGGCCGTACTACTGAAGACACCGGAGCAGTGCGCACTCTAAGTAAGAATCCTTTGGGTACTATGAGAGCAAGTAGGGTCGAGTATCGAGTGCGAATATACTCGAGCGAGTCTTTGATTCCTTTTGTGTTGTATTTCAAAGACATCATGGTTGGGACGCGCCATCACCCAGGGGGCAGTGGTACCAGTGATGAGGAGATCCGTAGGCTGATTCACGAGGAGGTGGCCGCGGCCATCCGAGCCGAGATACCAGAGATGTTCGGGTCTATCAAGACCACGTTGATCGAGACTTTTGATGAGCGGTACGCTGCTCTCATTGAGGCTGTTGTTGCTGCGGCCACCGCAGCCGTCGCTGCTGCCAGGCCGCAGGGGGGTGACTCGTTGCTGTACCGAGAGTTCAGCAACACGAAGCCACCAGAGTTTGATGGGACGCAGGATCCGATTGCTGCGATGAGATGGGTTTCTGATATTGAGGGATGCTTTTATACGTGTTCTTGTCCGGAGCATCTGAGAGTTCGGTTCGCGCTGAACCAGCTTCGCTTGGGAGCGAAGGACTGGTGGAAGTTTGTGACAGCGCACTACACACCTGCGGAGTCTGCCGCAGTAACCTGGGAGAGGTTCACCGCTATGTTTCGTGATGAGTACGTTCCCCCGGTGGAGAGGGAACGTTTGGCCAAGGAGTTTCTGACCCTCAAGCAGGGTACCGAGTCTGTTACTGTGATCACCAAGATGTTCCATGAGAGGGCGATGTTTTGCCCTGAGCACGTGTCTACCGAGCAGGCACATATGAGTCGGTATCTGAGTATTCTGAGGAGGGACATACGAGAGTTCGTGGCGAACTCGTCATACCGGACATTTGCTGAGCTTCAGGCAAATGCCCGGAAGAGGGAGATAGAGCTAGAGACTCAGGCTAGAGAGGATGCGGAGTCTCAGGGGAGAGATCGGCGACCGGCACAGTCCCAGCCGGCTGCCAAGCGGGCCAAGCCCGCCGATTCGAGATCAGGGAACCAGAAGGGCCACACTTATGGCAACTGCGGCAAGGGTCACGAGGGAGTTTGTAGAGCAGGGTCTTGCTACAAGTGTGGCAAGGAGGGGCACATGGCCAAGGATTGCCCCAAGGGGTTTGCAGTTTGTTTTCACTGCAACCAGACCGGACACTGGAAGGCAGAGTGTCCGCAGTTGCGAAGGTTGCCCCAGGGAGCTTCTCAGGGATCTGTCCCTGCTGCCGTGCGAGTTACGGAGAGTCGGCCAGTAAAGGCCGAGGCGCCAAAGGCTCGCGGGAGAGCCTTCCAGTTGACAGCGGAGGAGGTCCGCGCAACGCCTGATGTCGTGGCTGGTATGTATTCTTTCATCTGCTTATTTTGGATTGTGGTGTTATGCTTATATTGTGTTATGCGTAGGTACATTTCTTGTGTGTTCTGTACCTTCTTTGGTGTTATTTGACTCGGGTGCGAGTCGGTCTTTTGTGTCGTTAGCCTTTAGTCAGCACATTAGTACTCGTCGAGAGGCGTTGAGTCGACCTTTGCGAATTTCCATAGCTGACGAAAGAGCAGTGCATGCCACTGATGTGATTCAAGGATGTGTACTCGAGATTTTCGGCGTTGAGTTTCCGATTGATTTGGTCCCGATTGCTATGGGAGATGTATGTGTCATCGTGGGCATGGACTGGTTGAGCAGATTTGGAGCGGCTATCGACTGCGAGCGACAGCTGGTGACCATACGAGACCCTAGTGGGGGAGTTCTTACAGTTTATGGCGAGGGTACCCGTTCTGGGTCGGCATTTTGTTCAGCCGCAAGAGCGAGGCAGAGTCTACAGCAGGGCTGTAGTGGGTTTGTGGCTTATGTGGTGGATACGAGAGTAGGTGCATAGAGACCGAGGTCGGTCGATGAGGTCCCGATAGTGCATGAGTTCTCGGATGTTTTCCCCGAGGAGTTGTCGGGTGTGCCTCCCGAGAGGCAGGTGGAGTTCCATATCGATTTGGTTCCGGGGGCAGCACCTGTCGCCAAGGCGCCCTATCGCCTTGCACCTCCAGAGATGCAGGAGTTATCCTCGCAGCTTCAGGAGCTGCTGGGAAAGGGGTTTATACGGCCGAGTAGCTCGCTGTGGGGAGCACCAATCCTTTTCGTCAAGAAAAAGGATGGTTCACACCGGATGTGCATTGACTACCGGGAGTTGAACAAGTTAACGGTCAAGAACCGTTACCCTTTGCCGAGGATCGATGATCTGTTCGATCAGTTGCAGGGAGCGTCTTGGTTCTCCAAGATTGATCTGAGGTCTGGATATCATCAGATGAGAGTGCGAGATGAGGATATCCAGAAGACGGCGTTCAGAACTCGTTATGGGCATTACGAGTTCGTGGTGATGCCCTTCGGGCTCACCAATGCACCAGCATCATTCATGGACCTCATGAACAGGGTGTGTAGATCAATGTTGGATCGATCGGTGATCGTGTTCATCGATGACATATTGGTGTATTCGAGATCCAGAGAGCAGCATGAGGAGCATTTGAGGGAGATCCTCGGAGTTCTGAGATCGGAGAGGCTTTACGCCAAATTCTCCAAGTGTGATTTCTGGTTGCGAGAGGTCCAGTTCCTGGGACATCTCGTTAATCAGAATGGGATATTGGTTGATCCGGCCAAGATTGAGGCGGTAATGAGCTGGGAGGTGCCGAGGACCCCCACCGAGATCAGGAGTTTTCTGGGGTTGGCCGGCTATTATAGGAGATTTATTAAAGATTTCTCCAAGATCGCCGTGCCTCTCACCAGGTTGACCCGGAAGGGCGTTACTTTTTCGTGGGGTCCTGAGCAGCAGGCCTCGTTTGAGACTCTTCGCCAGAGGTTGTGCGAAGCCCCGGTGTTATCCCTTCCAGAGGGAATGGAGGATTTTGTGGTGTATTATGACGCATCGATATCAGGGTTGGGTGCAGTGCTTATGCAGAGGGGGCATGTGATAGCATACGCATCGAGGCAGCTGAAGCCTCATGAGACGAGGTATCCCACTCATGACCTGGAGTTGGGGGCTGTGGTGTTCGCTCTCAAGATCTGGCGTCACTATCTGTATGGGGTTCGGTGTACCATATACACGGACCACAAGAGCTTGAAGTATTTGATGGATCAGCCCAACCTGAATATGCGCCAGAGGAGATGGTTGGACGTGGTAAAGGATTACGATTGTGAGATCCTGTACCACCCGGGCAAAGCTAACGTTGTAGCTGATGCCCTGAGCCGTAGGGCGGAGAGTTCCCCGATGCGAGATGTTTGCTTGAGATTGACTGTGATGACTCCGGTGTTGGACACCATTCGGAAGGCCCAGGCAGAGGCCGTGAGACCGGAGAACCGCAAGAGGGAGCGGGTGATTGGGCAGGCACCTGAGTTCGTTACCGATAGCCGTGGGCTTATGACCTTTCAGGGTCGGGTTTGGGTGCCGTATGCGGGCGGGACGCGCATCACTTTGATGGAGGAGGCGCACAGATCGAGGTTCTCGATCCATCCCGGGGCCACTAAGATGTATTTGGACCTGAAGAAAGATTATTGGTGGCCCTGTATGAAGAGGGATGTCGCGTGGTTTGTTGAGAGGTGCTTGACATGTCGCAAGGTTAAGGCCGAGCACCAGCGTCCGCATGGCAAGTTGCAGACGCTTGATATTCCCCAGTGGAAGTGGGAACATATTTCCATGGATTTCATCACCAAATTGCCGAGGACCGTGAGGGGTGTCGATGCAATTTGGGTGATCGTCGATCGGCTGACGATGAGCGCACATTTTCTTGCCATCAGTGAGAGCTCTTCTGCTGAGAAGTTGGCAGAGTCGTATGTGCGGGAGGTGGTATCGCGTCATGGAGTACCGATCTTAATTGTGTCAGATCGAGATGTACGTTTCACTTCAAGGTTCTGGAAGAAGTTCCACGAGGAGTTGGGTACGAGATTGCATTTCAGTACCGCCTACCACCCCCAGACGGACGAACAAAGTGAGCGAACGATTCAAACGCTCGAGGACATGCTCCGAGCATGTGTGTTAGACTTCGGAGGAAGTTGGGACACGTATCTGCCGTTGGCTGAGTTTTCCTACAACAACAGCCACCATTCGAGTATTGGTATGCCTCCCTTCGAGTTGTTGTATGGGAGGAGGTGTCGGATTCCCATATGTCGGGGAGAGGTAGGGCAGCGTGTGATGGGTAGCACTGAGATAGTGCTTCGGACGACAGAGCGGATACAGCAGGTTAGACAGAGGTTACTGACGGCCCAGAGTCGTCAGAAGAGTTATGCGGATAGGCGACGATCCGATCTTGAGTTCCAGGTGGGAGATTTCGTACTCCTGAAGGTATCTCCTTGGAAAGGAGTGATTCGATTCAGGGTGACCGCTAGGGTGGGCAAGGTAGCATATCGGCTGGAGCTACCTGTGGAGTTGAGCCAGATTCACAATACCTTCCACATGTCCCAGTTGAGGAAGTGTATAGCCGACGAGTCGGCGGTGGTGTCATTGGAGGATATTCAGGTGGATGCGAGCCTGAATTATGCTGAGAGGCCGATTTCGATCCGGGATCGGAAGATCAAGGTTCTGAGGAACAAGGAAGTGCCGCTGGTGCAGGTCCAGTGGCAACATCGGAAAGGGTCCGAGCTGACCTGGGAGCCGGAGTTGGAGATGCGGGAGCAGCATCCAGAGTTATTCGATGAGCAGGACTTCGAGGGCGAAGTCTGATTCTAGTGGGGGAGAATTGTAACATCCGGATTCCCAGGTATCTTATTTTTTGTATTTTTATTGAATATTAGAGAGGGACTCGGCGAGTAGACGCTTAAACTCTCCGAGTAGGAACGGCGTTTGCTGACTGTATTAAATGAATGGAATCGGCGAGTCCATGCGTGGACTCGGCGAGTCCGCGCTGTTAAGTGAAACCCTAATCCTCGGGGCCTGAGCCCTATTTAAAGGCCTTTATGGCCTCCATTTGCGGCCAATGCACCCCAGAGGAACCCTAGAGAGAGCAGTAAGAGAGTTGAAAGCAAAAGGAGGCTATTTCTTCATCTTTTTGTGTGGTTTGGCTTGAAGGAAGATAGAAGCACACATCTAGAACGTGAAGGGGACTGGATCTGAGCTAATCATCTTGTGGTATCATCTTTGGAGGTATAAACCTTTCCCATTTCGTGTTATATTGATGGATTTCTTGCTTTTAGGGTTTTTACCCTCATTTTATGGAAGATCTAGAGAGTATGAGGTCCACTTTGGGATTATGACATCAGATCTGGACCCATAGAGGTCCAGAGGACCTTTCCCACTCCGCTTTATGCTGATTCATGGAGGATTGGAGACTAGGTTGCCATTTCTAGTGTTATTTCTCCATTTGAGGCTTGATATGGGATGCATGCACGTAAAGGTTGCACCTTTACGTGACTTTTGAGTGTTAAAAGGATGGATCTACTGTTTGGTGAAGCAGATCTGACCTCAAGAGATCTTTTGAGGGTTTTCATGGGAGGAACTCGCCGAGTCCATAAGGGACTCGACGAGTCGAGTCGGGTTGCCCCGCGACTCGCGACCTGTGACGACCCATGGAGCACCGGGTTGACCAGCGAGTCCAGGGAGGACCAGGGACGTAGAGTACAGACATGTACTCGCCGAGTCACTCTAGTGCACTCGGCGAGTCCGGTCAATGTTGACCGTTGACTTTTGTTGACTTTTAGGGTTTAGTCAGTGGTTGGTCTTATGAGCCATTAGAGGGGCAGATTGGTCTTTTGCCCTTCTTAGAGAACTTATAGAGAGGGGTTGACCTAGCCTTTAGAAGTTGTATTAATTAGAGTAATTATTTATGTGATTAAGCGAAGGCTAGCACAGTAATTCAGAGTTCGAGATTTACCGAGTCACCCGAGGTGAGTCTTCTCACTATACTTTACCTTTAGTGGTAATAGAGCTATGTGATAGCGTATCTTGTATGTTATGTATGTGAGGTGTTGCACTGTATTATTTCTATGTGATATATGATGTGTGTATTCCAGAGTTACAGAGTTAGAACCGGAAGGTTCACAGAGTTAGGACCAGAGGGTCCACAGAGTTAGGACCGGAGGGTCCACAGAGTTATAGCCTCGAGTGGCTAATATGTGTTACATGTGGTATTTTGGGGAACTCACTAAGCATTTATGCTTACAGTGTTGTGTTATGTGTTTCAGGTACCAGTGAGGATCGCGGGAAGGCACCGGTATGATCAGTACACACATGGGGAGCTTTTTATACTTGTGATCTTGGGATATGTTTTCTGGAGTGTTATGTCATACAATGAGATTTTTATAATATTGTGAATGAAATTATGTTTTTAAAATGTGAAAAAATTGTTTGAAAAATTTGGGCGTTACATTTCACATACTTAGAGAGATTTGGGAGAGATTTCACATACTTGGAGAGATTTGGGAGAGATTTCACATACTTGGAGAGATTTCTCCTACTTAGAGAGTTTTCGGAGAGTTAGAGTGGAAGATATTAGGAGAGACTTCTTTTGTGACCTTTTTGAGTGTTTGGCTTCGCAACGCAAGGTTCTTACACTCTGTTAAGCCTTGTTATGAATGTTATACGCTCTCGAGGGGTATGGAATAATGTTTTATCGAGTAGTTTCATCACTTGTCCTGATTAGGGTTTAGAATTTCCGAACACGTGAAAACTCTAAGTGATACTTTGTATTAGGATTGCGAGTTGTACAATAAGAAACGTAATGGAAACCCTAATATACAAGGGTTAGATGAGTTGACCGGTTTGACTTGTTGACTTTAGTTGACTTTGACTTGGCCAAAAATTGACGGTTGTCACAATTACAACACAACTTCTAAACGAAGGTTTAAAAACAAACATAATATAAATGTCTAAACATAAAATAATATAATTGTTTTAAACTGTAATAGTGTTTACAACAATAATCTAAGGATAATTAGGTGGATTGCAAGCTTGTTGCATGGATCAATCTTGATGTTGTATAAGTTACAGAACATCTCCACCAAGAAGTCCATTACTCTTCAAAACCAAAAGAGTTGAAATTTATTTGTCATTATGACATCAATTACTCATTCAATATTTGTAAAGTAACAAGAAATTTATTTACCATTAGAACTTGAGGTCATCCATGCCATAACTTGATCACTACCGGAACCTGGGTCTTCAATGGATCTACAATTAACCAAATATTAAACAACTAACTTTAATAAACAGTGTGTATACAGGCAGTTGATTTGCTACAAATAACTTTAATAAACAGTGGTGATCAGATCACTTGAGATTAATCACTCCAAAATTAAGTTGTTCCTTGGGGTGGCATGTTGTTTAAAAGAATTAGATAATGGCACTTTAGTCATTTTGCATGACTATATATTTAAAACTCATTTCACAATGATCTGATGTATTTAAGCTAACCGTGTTAACCTCATGTACCCAACAGAAAAACAAAACCCCCTAATAAGAGCCAAAAAGAGGTTCCTATTTGGCCAAAAGCAAAGAAAAATTAGAACCACATGGACCATTTCTGCTAGATAACAAAATAAAAATCTTCTTAATATTTATTAATACTTTCACGAGTATGATGATTATATTAAACAAACAGAAAAGGTTGGACCTACATTATCAATGTTTATGTTCTTTAATTGACAAAAAACTAGTGTTCATTGTCTACATCTCAACATCAATTCCAATTGCTCTCATATAATAATACTTGTAATTTTTAAGATATTTGTTTTGCTCACCAAACTCTGTCCTATTCCCCCTCTTTACATCCACATTCTTCAAACAATCTCTCTGATACACAACTAGCTTTAACCAAATATTAAACAACTAACTATAATAAACAATGTGTACCAGAGCATTCCTTGCTTGGTAGCTGCAACATAAATGGTAGCTTAAGTGATTCACAACCAAATCATTCCTTGAATGAATTTTCACTACCCATCAGGCATCCAAACTGCTTCAGGCAGCTGATTTGCTATGGGGTTAGAGGTTCTCCATTTCACCTACAATGAGACTAAAAGACAAACCGAAATAAATCAAAACTCTTAATTTCCCCCAAATAACATTTTCATACTTCTTAGAGACAATAATATAAATGAATATTTGAGCTTAAACACCTTACACCACATCAACAGCAAAAGAAAAAACAGAGTCAAAGACCACAACAAATGTTAATGATCATCTCATCAGTGTTTACTAATCGATTGCTCAAACATACAGTAAGCATTTATATTTTATGATTCATATGACTCTATTCAGGCAGATAATTTGATACTTGAGATAGAGAGAGAATGATCAAACCTAGTGTTGGGAGGCAGTAATGACGCTGACAAGGGAGGCGAGAAGGGCGTTGACGGACGGAGGCAGTGACACGCAGGACCACGAAGTCACATAAGAAGAGACTGGAGAACGGAGTCGTTGGCCGGACGTTGACTGACTGGTGGTGAAGGGTTGCAGATCGACTGCTGCACCGCCTTCAATGGTGAGTTGTGGTGTGGCGTTGAGGGCCGGTTAGGTCAACGAGAGAGAGAGAGAGAGAGAGAGAGAGAGAGAGAGAGAGAGAGAACAAGATGAGAGAAATCAGAGAGGATGCGTGTTTACCTTACTCCAATGTGAGTGATCAGCGTGACTGAGAGACAAAGAGAAGGAGTGAGAGATCGGATTGCAAAATGGCGGCACAGATTTTCGGGGGTAAACCTAAAACCAGGAAGAGAAGCATTTTGCGGGAACTGAAAATGGTTGAATTTTTTAGAATGCGATTTTAGGATTTAAATTTTTCAAAATTTTTAGGGCGTTTCCTAGGAAGGTCCTCGGAAATACAGAGAAAATAGAGAGGAAATCGAAACATTTGTTTGTGAATATCTTTACAAACATTTATATAATATTATCATTAACTTTAATTAAGATTATTATCACAAATATTATTTTGAATATTATCAAGGAAATCAAACACATTTTTTTTCGTTTATTCAAATAACACCATCATTAGGATTATTTTTAGTATGTATGTATATGTATTAATAATAATAATAATAATAATAGTAATAATAATAATAATTTCATATCTAAATATGTGTTGAAAGATGTAGATTACCGTATAAATTAGTTGGAAAAAATAATAAATAATATCCAGCTTCCTCGGAAATACGTAGGAACTTCCGAATGACTTCCTAGAAAAATAATTTTTTTTTTTCATTTTTTGGGTTCAAACGCCATTTTTTTAGTTTTTTTTTGTTATACATAAAATAATTTTAGCTTACCAAGTTATATTTATTATCCACATACATACACAAAAATAAATATATAATAAAAAAGAGTGTTTTGACTAATAGATTATGAAGGTGCAAACGCATGCATGTATATATATATCACATTTAACTGAGTAAGATAAAAACATTTAATGTATAACAAACTTGTATAAAATATGGAACAAAAAAAGCAACATTTAAACCCCAAAAAAACAAAAAACAAGTTTTAGTCCTAGGAAATCCCTTGGAAATACCTACGTATTTCCAAATGATTAGTGACAAATTTTATATTGTGTAGGAAATCCATCGGTATTTCCTATGCATTTCCAAGCGATTTCCTATAAACATAATTCGTTTTTCATTTTTTTATGTTCAAACATCATTTTTTTGTTCTATATTTTGTTCAAGTTTATTATACACGAATTATTTTTATTTCAACAAGTTCTACACGATATATACATACATACATGTGTGTACATC